ATATCCAACTGTATTGGTGACTTTTCACGAGAAAAGTTGGTTTATCCACTCAAAGTGTTTTTAATTAGCTGAAAATCAGTTGTTCAAACACTTCTGTTTTTGATTCACTATTTTTTCCATTTTTTTTTTAACATCAGTATCATGATGCCAAAAGAGCTTTATCAGTATATTTGATTTGTTTATTATTCGAGGCATTATCATTCTGCAGCGTGGCTGACCTGAAGCTCACAGAGATCCACAGGCCTCGACCTCTAGAATGCTGGGATAAATGAAACGTGCCATCACGACCAACAATTTTTGTAAATCTTCAACTTTGCTATTATTCCAAGCTGCTCTGACTATTTTAGGTTCTTTGTATGTCTGTGTGTGCACGTGTGAAGCAGGTGATATGTATGACCATGTACATGCAAGCTGTGTGCATGCATATGGAGGGCAGAAGTCGATACTGGGTGGCTTCCTCAATCACTCTCCATCTTATTTTGTGAGACAAGATCTCTCCCTAAAAGTAGAACAACCAACAGGCTGATGGGCCAGCAAGCTCTAGGGATCATGTCTCTGCTTCCAAAGCGCTGGGGAAAGAGCTGCATGGCGCCATGCCTGACCTTTTGTGTGCATGCTGGGGATCCAAGCTCAGGTCCTTGTGCTGGGCAACAAGCATTCTACCAACTGAGCCACCTCCCCAGTCTCAGTCCTCTGTATGTCTATATGAGTTCTGAGCCACTTAACTAGATTTCAAAAATCTAACTGGGACTTTCAGAGTGTGACCAGTCAAGCAAGCTTATCTTCAGTAGACCTGGTATTGCAAATCATTCTACAATTGCACAAAGTACATCTCACCATTTATTTCATCCTTGATTTCTCTCAACTGTATTTTGATGTTTTCAATATATGGACTGCTCATATCTTTAGATCCATTCAGTATATGGATTTATTCATCAGTACTTCTTTTGATATTATAAATCAAATTCTATATTTAAAATTTCTAATTTAGAATTTTACTGTTATACAGAAACACAGTTGAGTTTTATACCTTAAACTTGTATCTCCAACCATATATAGCTGCTCTCTTTGGTTTACTAGTTAAATCAACTATCTGTGAATAACAAGTGGCACTTTCTACTCTAGACAACTTTAACTCTGTTCCTTGCCTCACTAAATTGTGTAAAATCAGCAATATTCAACGCTCATGAATGTTGAACAAAAGCAAATCTCAGGAAGAAAGCAGGATACAGTTGTTAACCACTAAGCCTGATATTGGTTTTTCTGAGATATCCTTTATGAAATTAAGGACATTGGGGTCAGTGTTAGGACCTGAGTTTGTATCTCAGTACCCAAATGGGACAGCTTATAACTGCCTGCCATTCCAACTACAAGGAGATCTGATGCCTCCAGCTTCTGCAGGCCCCTGCATTCATATGCACATACCCCTTCTCACATACAATTAAGAATAGAATCATTTTAAAAACTTAAAGAAAATTAAGGGCACTGACTTTTTCGTGGGGGGATTCTGGGACTGAACACAGGACCTTGTGTGTGGTAAGCATGCACTCTACCACCAAGTGGCATATTGCATTCCAGCTGATTTCTATCCCTGCTGTCCTGAGATGTTTTAACCAGCATTTTGATTCTAGATTCTATGAAAATGACTTTTGGGTTTCAGTTCATTAATACAGTGAATTCTAATAACTATTAAATGTTAATCCAACCTTGAATTCCTACAATAACTATTTGGTCACTGCACTTTAAACAGGGTTAGTCCCCAGCAAAATCCCTGTTGAAATCTGACTGTCCCTGTGGCAGTGTGGGGTAGTGGCTCCCAGGAAGTTGCTAGGTTAAGAGGAGTGGACTCATTCTCCAGACAACATGTTGCTTTTCGGCAAGGCACCTTCTCATGCCTTGCCTCTTCAGCACAGCTTGCACTCTTCCATTCTTCTGCTATGACATGATGTGGCATGAGGTTCTCACCATATACGAACTCCATATACTTCCACTCTGCCACCTCCAGAATCACATGTTGACAAAAAAAAAAATCTCTACTTTTTGTATATTACCCAGTCTCAGGCATTCTGTTACAGCAATAGAAAATGGACACAGGCAACCTAAGTATTTGTTAGAAGTGAGTTACATTTTTTTATGTCTATCTTCATAAATGGTATTACACTATGGTTTTCCTTCTGTAGTTTTGATTTCAAGATACTTCTCACTGTTTTAGGTGGGAAGGTAAATCATGTCTATTACTCCACCTTAGCCAAAAGTATCTGTTCCATGGTTATTGTTACTGTCACATCTGCTCCTTCCTAGCCAGGCAGTACCAACCATTACTATCATTCTACAGGAAGTAGGGGAAACAGAACACAAGAAGAAACAGTTCTATTGTTTCAAAAAGCATGAAATTAGATTTGAACAACAACTATAGGAATCTAAACTCCACTCCACTAATCTTCCACTATAGCAAAGTGGAAATACTTCAGTAGCATTTAACAAATATTCTTTAAAAACATAAATATCTTTTTAAAAATCATGACAAAGAATTTGCAAAAGAGTTACATAGTATGATCAGGGTCCATATTTTAATCACTATGGTATCCTAAAGAAAAAAAAAAAAAGAGACACTATGGTTTCTTACACTTTAGGACTTATTGAACTATTAACTACAGAATATATTGAAAATATACCTTAAGAAAAAGCAGATTTAATCCAGCTAGGAAGAGCTTTATAACGATATTCTATGATCCTCAAAGACAAAATAATAACAGCAATGATAGATGTTATTGTTTTAAAATTGTAGCTAACCCATAAAAATACACTGTGAAATATTCATTACAATCCTATATAACAGTGACATTGGGAACACAACATTGAGAAACTTGCCTGAAGTCTACCACTCCTTACATAGAACAACAACTATCAAACAAGTCTGTACAGATTCAGGAGAATCTCTGGAGTTTTGCGTTTGGGCTTTTGTCTGTTTGTGTTTGGATTATAACACTGTCAACCTTAAGAAACAAGAAGCTCTGCCAAGGGCCTTTGGGAACAAGGACATTTCAACATCAGAGTCTGGTAGCGCTCAGGCCAAGTAAATGAGGGCACTGTGACAAGCGGGGCTTATTACCAGCTGCAGAGATCTGCTCTGCTTCCTTTCCAAGGAGCGTGTTCCCATTGTAAAACTAGTAGAGCGTTTTGTCTAGATCTCTGATAATCTACAGCGGATGTGGTTCAGTTAGCTTGGACTACCAACTACTGGCTATGATATGAAATTGTTTTATGATATAAAGCAAGTGAGAGAAACAAAACTTAACAGCTACTTGAATATTTTTAATCGTGAGCAGAGTACTGAGCCTACATGCCTCAAGACATTGCAAAGGTTCAAATAGCTACCTATTTCCCTCAATTTAGCTATGAGACCTTGAAAGTTTTCAACCTTATAGCCTTCTGAACGTTAATCTATAAAATGAAGGTGATGGTTTTACCTCCTCTGTGCTTGAGTTCCATCTGATACACAGACAACACAACTCTTGCGGTTGAGGCTCAAGAAAAATTATGGGAGACACAGTGAAAGGTTGTAAGAGGCAGAGGAACGGGAAGTTTGCTGTGAAATTATGTCTCCTAGAAATGTCAGAGAAGCTACACCCATGAAGTCTCACCAACATAGCTGCCTAAACCTGAAAAGGATGACATCATTAGACATGCTAGTGTGGAACGGGAAAAGCTCATGAGACCTCAGCACTGTACAAAGAACTCTACACAACAAATGCTGAGTGTGGAGAAATGGTCTTCCCCAGAGAAAAGCACACCAACTGATTAGTCAATAACCAACTGGTCAGCCCTGAAAGCATATACATACAAGTAACAGCATGCAGACTGAACAGCTTATATTTATATATTTAGGAATATATACACATGCATGCGTACACATAACATGCGCGCACACACACACCAATTAAAGAAAAAGAGGTCATGAATTTGGAAGAGAGCAGGGAGATGGAAGAGCATGAAGGAGGAAAGATAAGGGAGAAATATGTAATTATAATCTCAAAAAATTGAAAAATTATTAAAAATAAAACTCATCAAAAAGATTTAACAAACAAAATCATTTAGAATAGCACCAGACATTCGGAAGGCCTTATTTAAGTCTTGTTTTCAATAATTTACTACTATTCCTATAGTTATAAATAGGGAAAACTACATAAACAGGCACATTTGGAGATTCTTCAGTACAAAGAACAGTTGCAAATAACAATAACTTTAATGTTACACAATGCTTATTCATTTAAAAACATAGATCTAAGGCTGGTATGGTGGCACATGCCTATAATACAAGCACTTAGGGAGGCAGAGGCAGGTGGATAGCAGCCAGCCTGGTCTACGAAGCAAATCCAAGACAGCCAGGGTTACACAGAGAAACCTTGTCTTGAAAAAAACAACAACAAAGAAAAAACAAAACAAAACACATAGTTCTATAATTCTAACACACCTATATTAATGTCCTAAAATGGTGTTAGAAACTGACATCAACCATCTTCTATAAGTATATAAGTAACTTGTAAAACACCAACAGAAATAATCAGACACAATTCATTGAAATGAAGCAAATTAACCCTTTATACAGTATTAAATATATTATGTGCTCAGCAATATGCAATGTTCTTCATGGAATCTAAGCCTTACAACTCTTAGAAATCTTAAAATATTAAATGATAAAAAACTTGTATGTTAGAATAGATAAAGCAAAATGCAAGTAAATGCCAGTGCACGGAACAAAACACAGGAAGAATTCTCTAACAACTTTTATTTCACATTCATTGTATGTGTGTGTTGTGTGTATACACATAAATTTATGTGCATGCCCTTATGCTACAGCATGCTCTGGAAGCCAGACATGGCTTGCAGCAGATTCTCCCTGGAAGGAAGATGCTCAAGTGGCACTAAACTTGGTAAGCTCCCCGTATGTGTGTATGTGGCTGGAACATCTGAACAAAAGAGACGTAGCTATAACTTACTGTTGCTATTTTGGTGCTGAGGAAGTTCTGCCTTTCTTCATCTACCATAATTTCAAGCCCAGTCTTAAATAATTCAAGCATTTTGGGGATGTCACGACCAATGGCATCTGGTTAGAAAAATCAGAAAAATCCAAAATTATTACATTAGGTAAACAAGTAGCAAAAATTAATGACTGAAATAAACACAAACCCCATGTAAAGAAACAGCGAATAAGCTGTGCAGACAGATGTTTTCATATTCGCTTGGGCCCGGTTTCTACTTCATGGCCTTGGGTGCTCTTCTCCCACTGGGTATGGATGAGACCTGCAACTTGCCTTCTAACCAAGAGACAGAATGATATGCACTTAAGCCTGCATCACATAGCACTACAAGCCTGTCTTAGAGTATACGCTTCCTTATTGGCTTTGAAGAAGCTACAAGACTGTGTGCTACCACGTAGAGAGCACGATAGAGCAAGGGACTCCAAATCCAGCAAGAGTAAATGGAAGCTTTGGTCCAGCAAAGAACAGACCTCTGCCAATAACCATGTGAGTCTGAAAGGGGAGAACAAACTCCACAGAGGTATCTCGTGACCTTTACCATGTACACTTGCCTCCCTTCTATCATGCATGCACACACATACACACACACAATTAAAAGAGTTTTATTATCACTGTTAATGTTAAAGCATACCATTATTATCTTGAAATTTTAACTTTTTATAGAAAAAGTAAGGTCATTTTCATACCACATATTCTAATCCAGGTTTCTCCTCCCTCATCTGTTGCCAGATCCTTCCCACCTCCCCCCCCTTTCAACTCCACCCCCGCCCCCTCTCTCTCAATATCTTTCTCTCTTTTAAGAAAACAAATAGGCAAATATAATAGACAATGATTTAAAAAATGACTAACAAACAAAAAAGAAACTACAAAAAAAGCAGGAGAAATACACACATGCAGATACACACAGAGAGAGACATATGTATATAAACACAGAGAGGGATAAACACACACATGCACACAGAGTTATGCACATAGTTATACACCTACAGACATACACACCATAAAAACTCAAAATTGGAAACCATAGCATACAATCAAAAGACTAGTAAGGTTGAAGAAGAAGAAGGAAGAAGAAAGAAGAAGAGGAGGAGGAGAAGAAGAAGAAAAAAAAAATCTGTAAAAATACCCATGAGTTCATTTCACTACTGGGTCTTGGGCCTGCCCTTAAGTGGTTTGTAGAACAAGTGTGACTCCTTGGAGAAACTGTTTCTTCCTCTTGGAGAGTCTGTTAATTGAAGGTAGCTTCTTGGTTGGGGGTGGGGCTCGTATCTACTTTGACCTCTCAGTACTGGGACCCCATCTTGGATCCGTACAGGCCTTATGCAGGCTGCCACAGTACCTATGAGTTCATGTGTGTCAGTCCTTTCATGTCTGGAAGGCACTGTTTTGTTGGTATCATGCATTCCCTAGGTCTCTTCAGATCTTTCTGCCTCCTCTTCTGCATAATTCCCTGAACCCTGAGTGGGGAGATTTGATGGAGACATCCCGTTCAGGACTGAGTGCTCCAAGGTCCCTCACCCTCTGCACACTGTCCAGCTGTGGGTCTCTGTGTTTGTGTCTGTCTGCTGCAGAAGGAGGTGTCTCTGATAATGGCTGAGTGAGACACTGATTTATGAGTAGGGCAGAATGCTGTGAAGAGTCATTTTATTCCTCCTTTAATTCTTTCTGATTCTGTTTCATATATCTTGGGGCTCTGCTTATAAATGAGAATGTACCTTATTATCCAGCTTTTTCTTCATTATCAGTTCTCATTTTAAAAATCTAGTCTGTCTGGCATTAACATGGAGACATAGAGAATTAATGACATCCTCTAATTCTTAGTTGTTTTCATGGTTTATAATTATCCACAATTTTACTTCAGTCTATGTGTTTAAAGTGTTTCCTCTGCAGACATTGTGCAATTAGCTAGCTTGCCATTCGGCAGGAGTATGTAGCCCATTTCCAAATTTCCAAACATGTATCTCGAATTAGAAATTTATGTGTTTTCTACTATCTCATCATGTTTGTTCCTCTGTCCCTCTTATACAGCCATTTTTTCTTTAAAAACAAACAAACAAACAAACAAAATCAGGTTTCTTTTATTCCACTCTTTAGATTTAAGCTCCGTGCCTTTTAAAGATGCTCTGGCGACTACAATGATCACCTTTTTTAAATCATAAGCTACTTCATGTTAGACATGTACCAGCTAATATTTCCTCCTATGCCATCTTTACTTTGTGATGATTGTCATACTAAAACCTGGATGACTTCCTGTAGATTTGTCTTTAAAACAGTATCAACTATGGTACTTATGACCAAAATTAGAGAATCATTCCAGATGTTTACACTTCAGTTATTCTTGTTGATTCTATCTCTTCACCATCCCTCAATAACCTTCTTCTGTCTTCACTGCCATTGCAAAATTTACTTTCCTCTTGTATCTGGACTAATACAACAGCCTTTGCAATGTTCTCCATTGACGTTTCTACATTACCACATGTCTGCCCATGACTTACATACCCCCAGAGTATTCATCCGATAAGAAAACCATAGCTCATGGTTCTGAACATGGTTTTCAATGGCTCCCATCTGCCAAGAGGATAAAATCTAATCTTTGTGGAATAGCACAAAAGGCCCCCTCTGCCTGGCCCACTGCTTATCACTGTCTAACCCCATTAACCACACTATCTGATTACAGGCCACATCCACGACAGAAAGCAGCTTAGAACTTCCTGAATACACTCACTCTTGCTTGACTTTTTTATGTTAATGACGCCATTTCTTCTGTCTAGATTGTAGTCCACATGTTATGAAAGCAACCACCTATTCACGATTAACCTCTCTACTGCTATCTTCTTAACATAGTTTGACTCTGAGAAGTAGTTACAATAAATATATTATTTATTGTAAAAAACAATAAATAAATACAAAAAAGTACCCTTTTTGCATATTAAAGGGTACTTTACGGCTTAAGTTTAATAATCTGTTTTCATTTTATGTGTGTTAGTGTTTTGCCTACATGTGTGTCTGTTACATCCCCTGAAACTGTAGTTAAAGACAGTTGTGAGCTGCTATGTGGTTGCTGGGAATTGAACCCAAGCCCTCTGGAAAAACAGCCAGTGCTCTCAATTGCTGAGCCATCTCTCCAGTCAAGGCTTAAGTTTATTCTTCTCTGTCTCTTCTGTCAATATGTATTTTCTTAAAAACTGTGGACTGTCTTTTAATCTTTCAGTAATTATCCATGTATGTAACAAATGGGCTGTGATGGTAGAACTGACATGGAAGCACACGTAAGTTCCCTTAAAGCAATTCATTTGCACTTTTAGGAATCTTACGAAGTTGGTATATACAGCATAAACTTCTTGTATACCTTGTTTGTGCTAAGCTCTGCTTATATTATTGGGCATTTGTTAGCATGAAAGATGTTTTATAGATAAGAATTAATGGGCCTCAGTGATATGTTGCCTCCATTTCCTTGTTGCAAAGTTCACTTAATGTCAGATTAAGGAATAAAGCCAAGCCCGAAAGATGTATGCTCTCTATTACTTATTCTGTTTTTGGCAGGGACAAATATCAGGTTACCATGAATTTGATTTGTTCTATTGACATACACTTGCTCTCCATTTTATTTTCTCTGTGTGTTTTACACTCTACTTTCCTCCTAGTCTTTCTCTCCCTTTAATGCTCTGTACTGTTTCTATAATAAGCACAATTCAGTCCTTCACTTCAGTATCTTCTCTCTCTCTCTCTCTCTCTCTCTCTCTCTCTTTTCCTGTATCACAGAAAATAAAGAAGCAAGAAAGGAAAGAAAGAAGTTAGGAAGGAAGTTGGAAATAAGCCAGGAAGAAAGGAAGGGAGGGAGTTAGAATTGAGCATGCTTAAGTTTTAGGAAGTTGTGAAAACTAAGAACTGACATTTGAATTTGGGGGGAGCACTATTTGAGGTAAGTGTGAAAGAGGCAGTCGAAGTACAAACAATGTTAGGTAAGGAAGTGGAGGCAACAAATTACTGAGGGCCACTAATTTTAAGACTAGAATAAAAACGAGGAACTAAGACCGTACAACAAGGGCAGCTCAAACAAACAAAGCGCTCCCTGTTTGACGGACAAAGCTGGGTGTAAAGATGTACTGAAGGTAGTGCTAGTTCTATGACACCAAAGACTTTCACTCCATGTTCAAAGCTGCTACCATATCGTTAGTCATAAACCAGGTGTTCAACTAGCATAAACATAATTATATTTTGAATGTATAAATTACACTTAATCCATGGTTCAGTTGAGTTATTAACTCTGTATGTTCTTTCAACTGAATCCTGAATTAAATGGTCATTAGTTACACAACATTTGTAGAGTGAAAATGCTGGGACAGACACTATTCTAAGCCGCAAGACAATAGCAACAGATAAAATTAAAGTGTAATTGTAGGAATTGAACACATACATATTGCAGATAGACCCGAAAAATAAATAAATCCAAAGACTCAAGAAAGTAAAGAACTCAATGTGTACATGTGTGAGAAACAGCACAGCAGGCCCTAGGGCTGAAATAAAGAAAACAATGTTCATATGATTATCTATAACACACTCATAATTAATCTATCATAACAGTACCTACTCCTTAAAGATTCATTCACATATAGTTTTTAAACTACTATAGGGAGGCAGAAACTTGTTTTTGCATTTCTTCTCATAAACCCTAAAAGTTCAGCTTCAGTAATAGAAGTAATACTTGGAAGCACAGAACATTATTTCAAGACCTAAAGAATCCTTTAAATTCTTATAACTTTAGCACGTATGAGTCTTAGTCTGATGCAGGAAGCAGGAAGCAGGCACTTGCAGTCCTTGGAGCTCAATGCCCAGCCACCTAGCCAGGCTTGGTGAAAGACCCGGCTCAAAACATGGACAGTGAACGAGGAAGACACCAGACCTCTACCTCTGGCTTCCACATGCAAGCACATACATGTACCTACACCTGAAAATGCGTACACGAACACACACTTCACACTCAAGGAAAATGTCCATATTGATGATGGATGAGTTTCACGGAGCTCTTAGAAGAGAGGGGGCAGCAAAATGAAGCCAAATCCCTTTCAAGCAGGTTTTAAATATTTTTCATAAAAACAAAAAAGTGCTGAGGGAAAAAAAAAGCCAAACAGGAATGTGAAAAAGTGAATTTGCCTATAGTTATAGTTATATAAGAAATGTGCACAATGGATCTAGCCAAGATGGTAACACCCACTGCTGTCAGTAAAACTGAGACAACATGTGAACCAATGAGCTGACAGCTGGTTCTTGCTGGAGCTCCAGAATTTCTATTTTACCTTAATGTGTTTTGTTGGATCTAAAGGGGCTCAAACATTCTGAAACCAGAATCTGAATAATCTCTACAAATGCACAATACAAGAGCCATCTGTCCTCATGAACATCTGGTATGTTCTGTGTGAACATTCTGACAGGCTAATAGTTTGTTTTCATGCTTAAAGAACACAAATGTTTTGCTGGTTTTGATGAGCAGACCCTGTGTGGGTGAAATAAAATGTTAGAGAAGGGGTGCTGTCATTCTTCCAGGTGCCTTGTTAAAGCACACAGGCAGGGGAGAGGGACACACGCACACTAAGGATACACACACATGGTCAGTGTGGTTCATTATGAAACTAGAAATAAAGTAAATCCCCCAAATAAGCATAAACACTTTAACAGGAAACTTGCTATTTGGAATAAAGAAGTTATTTGAAAACCTTCCAGCTTAAACAACAACAACAGTAATGCTAATGAAAAGAGAGTGGCAAAGGCATCAGTTAATGCCCGAGAACCGGCTGAGTGGTACAGCCGAGTGGCACAGACGGCCCCGCGAGCCTCACCTTTTACTGCTTCCATTAGTGCCACTGGCTGCAACTTGACCTTAATTAGAAATAAAAACTGTTTTTGCAAAATATTTTCTCTAAGTCTGACTGCAAATCTGTCCTCCCTCCCCTCAGTAATATTCAATTGCAGGCCTGACTTAAAAAAAAAATAAAAAAAAAAAAAAGTGAGCCTGATTCTATAACAACAAAGGCAGCTGTGATAAAAATCTCTATCAAAACTGCCAAGTCCCCGCCTATATCTAATATGAGCTCATATACAGGCTCATAACAAAATCATAGCACAATAAAAGAATCTGAATCAGTTCTAGTTAGATCATGAATAGTTATCTTAGTAGCTAATACGTATGAAGAAATTTAGTTAACCTTTTTTTATTCTTTAAAATTTTGAAATAAAAAAGTACAAAACAAATTTTAAAATACTTATTTCATCTGCAATACCTAATAAAAACAACCCTTATCTGTTGCAGACATCCAGCACCACCTACAACAAATGAACCTATTCTGTGAGTGTGCTCATACTGTGTTCATCAATGACACTTATCAGGAACTGCCTTCTGTAAAAACTCTTCCTCTCCCCTCAGCTACTCCCTTCCTACGAAGTCACAGCATCTGTCTTTACCACTGTACTCTTCACTGTTCTCATCGTACAGAACTGACTTTAAACATTACCCTTAGTCTCTTGTAACTTCAGCTTAAGTGGGCTCCCTACCTTTACTTTCAATCCAAAACAGTATGTCTCACGCCACTCTAGAGAACAAATGGTATCACATCACACTTTATAACATCTAAATGATTCATGCTGAATAGAACATCCATGCTTATTAACTCCTAACTCAAAGACTTCCTCAAAACAGCATCAATCCACCCCAACATCCATTATTTCCATTATTCACTTCCATATCATCGTAGAGGTACCATCCCTACAGCCAAAAGGACCTACCCAACATTTCTTAGAGCCAGCCTTTCTAGCGTACTTCTCTTCCTGTGGTTAATATATTCTACTTATTTCTCAATCCATGCATCCAATTCTACTGGTAACAGCTTAAATGTCACCTTACTCATGATGCATTGGTTTCACCCCTATATTGTAAATACACCCCCCCCCCCAGCGTATATCCTTAGTACCTTAGGAACTGACCAATTGGTATCATTTTATAACACTTACGGCATTTTATGTAATTAAAGTACTTCTCTTACTATATTTTTGTTGTTAGTGGTGTTTTTGTTTGCTTGTTTTATCAAGACAAGATTTCTCTGTGTAACAACCCTGGCTGTCCTGGAACTCACTTTGCAGATCAGGCTTGACCTCAAACTCTGAAATCCACCTGCTTCTGCCTCCCAAGTGATGGGATTAAAGGTATGTGCCACTGCTGTCCAGCTTCTTTTACTGTATTTTTCAAGGACATATTCATAAAGAAAAATTCTACTAAGCGGAAATACTTACATAGCCAAGCACTCATTTATATGCATTTACATACAAGCTGAATGCTTTAAATGAGCCTATATATCATATTGATAAAGAAGTATAAAAGTCGACAAAATGGCATGATGACAATGCTCTTGGTATTACATTTCATTAATGTCAGCTGGATTACAGTACTCTGACAACAATATTAATACCAAAGAAGAAAATAAAATCTACACATTCTTATAATACCAGTCTCAAAATCAGGCATGATACTTGGTCTACAAACATGTTAGCAGCATTGCTTTCTTCCAAACAAAATTATAAAGAAAGCTATGAGAACATACTGAAATAACAAAAATTCCCCCTTACTTCTAAAAGTCTTTGGAAACCTGTTATTCAGTTTCTTCTTTAATGGGTTAATCTCAGTCAGTATTTCTGGAACAGCTACATAAAAATCTGCAACAACCTCCTCATCCAAGATCTGAAAACCAGAGGAAAAAACAAGAAACAACCTTAACTTTTTGAACATAAGTAATTTCATTATGAATTTTTCTTCAAACACAGAATTATACAAATAAAGTTACCAGTTATGAAAAAATCAGAAGGAAATATTTAACATTAAAATATAACATTTTGTTATATTTTAAAAATAGATACATATATTTTTAAACAAAATTAATGGCTTTAATTTTACTGTGAGATTATACTAGGCAAAATGAAGTTACAAGCTGGAACACCATATTGATATGGGGCCAACTCCCACAAACCTCCCAAAGCAGCATTCCTGTCTATTAAATGTAGAGAGAAGTGAACATTTTTCAAAAGATCACATGCAAAGGTAATAGCTCCTAGTTGCCAAACTCACTAGCAACCATTAACTTTCTAAATTTAGTACATCAAAAGACTGAATTTATCATTATTTGCACAAATTTATCATTATTTGAGTTAAAATTCTCCTCCTTACCAATAACTAAAACCAAAAGGCGAGAGGACAAAGATAAGTTCTCTTACAGTTTATCAGACATACCGTATTTCCATTCTCAGAACAAGAGGATTCATAATCAGACTTTAAAGAACTTGTTGATAAACCCAGGCTGACACTCAAAATAAATATTATACCACCATACTATACTCCACTTAAAAATTTAATTAATAACTTTTTTCTTTGTTTGTTTTTGAGACGGATTTCTCTGTGTAGCCTTGATTGTCCTAGACTCGTTCTGCAGACCAGGCTGGCTTAGAACTCACAGTGATCCACCTGCCTCTGCCACCACACCTGACTTAATTTAATAACTTTTAAAAGAAAATATTGCCAGGGTACAAATTTTTCACCAGTCATGCTTATTTTTACATGAAACCTTACCTATCCAAAGCTTTGGTTTGGGTTAATGAATTCAGAAAAAATGAACTCTGGTAAAATTAGGAAATATTCTTGCAATTTTCTTTCTGTTACTAGTGTTTTATTTTAAAAATTCTTCAATCTTTAAATAACACTCTGTGCTCCTCATAAAAATAATGACATATTAAGTGTGGAGAACTTATGTGTCGTGAATTCTGTACATATTTTATACAGTTTAATTCATCCAATGTTCACAACAATCCTACAAGGTGGGAGCTAAAATTAACTATTTCAGATGAGGAACCCAGAGCCTCAGTGAGAAGTCAGCATGCATCTTCAAAGAGAAACAGCACCATTCAAACATAGGTAGTGGGGTTCTAGAACCAGAGTCCCCATCCCCAAGAACAAGGAGGAAAGAAAGACAACTTTGAAATGCTGAAGAATTTTATGTAAGGGTTTCATCAGCAAGCTTCCTAAAATTAATTCTATGACATGTTCCTTTAAGATAAAAATTATCTGTGACAGTTATGCTAAAATTTACCTTAGGAATACATCCTAGAATAACACGAATCTGTACACGGAAATTACACTTTTACAGACAAGAAAAAAAAACAAACATTAGTTTCAAATCTCTCTGGGCCAAATATATGTGACATTTCAAAATGAAATTAATTTAATAAAGATCTTAGAAATTATGCAGAGTCCAGTAAGTATAGGCTACTTTATAGTTTCTTTTCAAAAAAAAAAAATATCTTTTTTATGAGAATGAGTGTTTTGCTTGCATCTATGTCTGTGCACCACATGCATTCCTGGTGCCCATGGAGATCAGAAGAGGTCCTAGGGTCCCCTGGAACTGGAGTTACAGAAGGTATGGGCTTCCATGTAGGTGCTCAGAACTGAATCTGGGTCCTCTGCTGAACTGTTTCTCCAGCTAAATGCTAAGGAGGACAGGATACTAACTTAAGAAAGCAGGAATGGGGCCTTGGAGTATTACTGGTCTTAGAACATTTGTCTACCCTGGATAAGGCCTGGGTTCAACCTCCAGTATTGCTTTAAATAAATAAATATAAACATACAGAAATGCGCTTGAAAATCTACAGCCATGCTATTACTTAAAAAAACAAACTGTTTTGGCCTTACTCCATGGCTTGAATGAATACCTTCTAAAAATGCGCGGAAAGCTTTCAAACATCTGACGGGAAGAACCTCCTGGCTACGATAACCTACCCAAGCAGCACTGCCTCCCCAGCAGTGCACTCGCCACTGGCCCCTAAAAGAAAACTATGTACCTACAATATTTATATACTGAAAAATCACGATTAGATTTTCTTATTTGAGTTTGTTTCCAGTGTTTCCATTACCAACAGCAGAGCTATGCAACACCTTCTCCTCCACTGCTTTCTCCTTGAGGAGTAACTTCTGACCACAGAACTGTAGGAGTGGCTGTCACAGCTGTGACACTCTCATGGGGTCAGGGAGGAAGTCGGTGAAAGGCAGCACATGGTTGCTGATGTTAGTTTTCTGGTGACATTAGTTTTCTGACTCCAGAAACCAAGCCCTACTCTCAAACTCCCAAGCACCTAAAATATATTTACTCTGATCAATTAAAACACTGCTGGTACTTAAAGAATTAAAATGATATGCCAGAAAGAACAGGGCACTATACTTAGACTCAGCCAAGAACTGTGTTAAAGCAAGATCCATTCCTATTTTCTAGTAAGCTCACTTTGGAAATTTTACTTAAGATTTTACAAAGACCTGTGGGCTTTTCCTCCTGCTGCTGGACTGGCTCAGCAGGTTCAAGGCCAGATCAGGATGTTAAACTAAAGGAGGAAGAACTTCAAAGTGATCCTCAAGGAGGAGCTGAGCTTCAGCTTCCTCAGTCCCCACCTCTGCTTGAGGAGGGTTTCTCCCTCTGTGTGGCCTTGCTGTGTTTCCTCACCCCATAAAAGCTTTTCTCCAACTGCTGATTGTGTCTTTGTCTATGTTCAAGATTTCTCTGCTGCTAACCGTTGCTGTTAAGATTTTTTTTTCTGTCTTTTAATTCTTTAACTGGCAAAGAAAAGAACCCAATCAAGACCCCTACATGGTAACAAAACTACTTCCATGTGGGAACAGAATATAGGGGTAACCTAACTCCTGTTAGGTTCCAGGCCCTGATCACTCAAATTTGGCTCCAGGATAAACTATTTCCATTTCCCTTTAACAAGAAATTATAATCACCATCAGACTTAGAACACTACTAAGCTGCTGTGTTCTTTAAAGGACCAGCAGTGAGTCAAGCAAAAAAAAAAAAATCTGGATATTTGGGAGGATAAGTTTTCAAATCAGTTTTCCCAGCTCCCTGCAGCCCATCCCTATCCATAATGTAATTTAACTAACTTATTTGAAAAAGGGACTCAGAAAATGTCAAGGAAAACCTTTTGTGAGTTTAGAAATAGCTCTTCCTACCTCTTAAAAAAAATGCTATTCTCTTTAAAAAGGCTCCCTAGGCCCTTACTGAAAATGGGGTACTTCCTCGCTGCTCAGCTCCCCTGCTAAGTCAGCTTGTTACTTCAAGCTGATTGTGGAGGAAATGTTCAGAGGAAACACCATACAACGGAGATTAAATACCAACTAAATGATACTTTCACTCCCAGATTGAAAGATTAGTTTTTAAAACATGACTGAAATATTCACGTGTACTAGTATTTGGATTTCATTTTAAATTTCACATTCAAAACTTGAGTAATACTGGCCTTTGTGTTTTATTCACAAAACTTTCATAACAACAGTAAACTTCAAACAAATGCAAGAGTGAAGTAATCAATGATTTAAAGTAAGGATGGCTTTTTCTTAGATTTGAAACTGAAGAAAATACAAAAAAAATTCCTGTTTTTACAAAGCCTACTAACTGACTTGGAGACGATATAACCCTAACGATCATGTGCAAATGTAACAAATTAATGTATAGGGCTAAGAGATGGCTCAGCAGTTAAGAGCACTGGTTGCTCTCCCAGGGGACCTGGACTCAATTCCTAGCACCCACATGGCAGCTCATGTGGGTATATAACTCTGGTCCCAGGATATCCCACTCCTTCTTCTGACCTCCAAGGGCACCATGAACACACGTAAGACACAAACACGCATGCAGACAAAACACACATAACATGAAAGAAAAAAGATAATTACTGGATAGCCGAGCTATCAGAACAATCTATATAACCAATGAACATAAACGCAGTACCTTCTTAACCAGATCCGCTCCTCCTGCATAAGCAGCTCCATTTTCTTCAGCTATTTTAATCTCTGATGCATCCTACCAAAGCACAAGTTTGAACATTAACAAATTCATTATACTGTCAATAACTGTCAGAAATATCAATTCAAAACTGAAATTGTTTTTATTTTTAATTGAAAAATACACCAATTTTCAATTATATGCATCAAATACATTATATTCTGGAAAAAAAAAAGACTTCAGTTTATACTTCAACGTGAGTAGGAGTACTTGACTGACAGAAGAAATCTTGATGTCCTATAAAGAAACTAGCAAGTGCTGGGAGTGGTGGTATATACCTTTAATCCCAGTACTCAAGAGGTAGAGGTAGGAGGATCTCTCTCAGTTCAGGGTCAGCTTAGTCTATGTAGAAAATTCCAAAACAGATAGGACTATGTAAAGAAACCCTGTCTCAACAAACAAACACAGCCTAGCATGTGACAAGCAGCTGGTTCTACCAATATATATACACCTTCCAAAAGTAAAAACTCAAAATATGGTTAGTTATACTAACTTACATTTTATATAACTGATACAAGAGGAAAACTTTTAATTTAAGAAATAAAAAAAACTAAAATTTAGCCATGCCTCAAAACTTCAAATGAAAACCAGTATTTTGATTTTCCTTCCTTATGCCCCATTTCTATCATTTTGTTTTCTGGGAATATATTTCACTCCCTTAGTTACTGCAACACTGTGGTACTCCAACAACTATAATTCCCACGTACTGGAAAGAACACGGCTTCTTCCTCCAGAGGAAAGCAGAGATTTTAACAGTCTCAGATATAAAATTCAGATGGTAAAGAAGGGGAAACTAAGCAAACGCATTAGCACATTATAAGCAAATGTCAACAACTCAGAAGTCCGCCAATCTAGACTCCATGCCAGCCATGCTGTCTCTAAGAGCAGGCATTTGTTTAAACTGTGCTCTTGGAGACTCACAGCACTGTGTAAAACAACCCTTATGCTTCTGAGAGTGTGAGTAGGAGGCTGGAGACCCATGATCCAGCCCACATCTCCCTTCAGTTCTTAGGAACAACACTACTGGGATGGGTGGCAATGACAGCAGGAAAGTTTGTGCATCTCTTTCTCAGACTAGTAGGACAAGTGCAAATAAGTGAACTTCTCTGAACTTTAAAAGACTGGTGTGAATTCTGAATTTTTCTCTAATAATATTCCATTACTCTCTTTATTGACTAGTATAATTTCTTAAAAATTGTAAAATTGTTGACAAAGTTACTTACCCCTGTAAATACAGCAACTTTGTTCTCAGAAGCAAAAGGGTACGGCAAACTAGCAACGGTAGAAAATGGCTCCAATTTTTTCTAAACATACAAAGGAGAAAAACAATTACAAACAGTTCATCTTTGTGCTACTTTCTGGATTCTATAAAAAACAGAACTGACATGTTTTTAATTTTTGGTTGGGTGGCTCATTAGCTGGATAAATAGGGCGTTTCTGCCAGCCTCAAAATCAAGATCCTCCTGCCTCATCTTCCTGAGCACTGGAATTATGGGAATGCAACACCATACTCAATTCTTCCTTCTAATTCTTTCAATCTACAATAGGGTCTCCCATTTATGCCAAACTATTCTCTGATTATAATTTAAAGCTCAGGAGATTATTTTTATAAATATATAAGAATCTAAATCTCTCTCCTCAGCTCCACACCCCATTGCATGTGGTTTTCTGTCTAAATCATTTATCAGTTTGTCAAATGTTGCGATATATATTCATACTGCATCTCCCTAGCACCTAGTGCAACAGTTTCCATTTCCTGTGTGTCAACAGATGGATGCTACCTTGAATTAAAAATTTAAATGTAATTTTCAGACTCAAGGAATATGATGAAAATAGCTAGATATCCTAAACAAAGAGAGTATCCAACTGATCTGTTCAGTAGCTCACCCTTAATGTGCTCCACAGCTCTAGGCAACTCTACAACAGAATGCCAAGACAGAAAGGGTCTTCTCAATGGCTCTATTTTAGTGAAATAGAGGTCCCCATCCCTTTCAGATATATTTGGGAAGTGAGTTGAAAAATCCAAAATAAACAATGCATCATTTAACACTCACAAGCACAAATCCCATAAGACCTCAGACTTAATCTCTTCAGCTTGTGGTGAAGGACCTGCCTAGAACTGAGGATCAGAGTTCTGAGGGAGATTTATATGAAAAAGGCCTCCAGGCCTCCACAGGCTTGGCAGATGAGAAAAGGGACAGCTCCTCTGATAAAACTGATTAAAAGATTGTATTTTTAGAAAAGTGTTTTTCCGAGTAGCAGCTGCTTCCTAGGGATTTTTAAGACCAGAAGGCGTAAATTCTTAAGTACCCTTTATATTAGACATCAACTTAGTTTTGTTGCTTGTCATTCCTTTTCTATTAACATGTCACAACTGATGTAAGGTTTCCAATGGTAAACAACCACCATCCTAGCATCCCCTGGAGAGTACTGACTCCCTATGCAAATATTTGATGAGAAGCATTCACAACAAGTATAGACTGCTTGCCTACAGTGCTCAAGGCCCTGGGCTCAGTTCCCAGCACAGAGGCAATAAAAACAGAGCAAACCTAAGACAAAGACCACATCACTAGTACCATTGTCTATAAGGAAATTCTATATTTAAAAATGATGTCTGAGGTCCTACAAGACACTGCTATGAACTACATTAATAACTGAGAACTTCCAGAGATTACTAGAGATTTAAATGAAAAAGTAAATACAAAGTACCGTTAAATAAAGTGGCTGGCCTACAAAAAGTTTCCAGTAATGTTATTATTAAGCACCTATTAAGCTTTATATATATTACTATATTTAATCTTGAATGGAGCTATATGAACAAAACTTTTTATGTCTTTATAATAAAGGGAGAGCATGTGACAAATCCAAGGCAAGAAGCCCAACTCCCCAGCATGCTTTCAACATATTTCCTACTTGGGAAGTAACATATTTTCATGCTAAAATAGAAAGACCACCAATTTTCTAAAGATTATTGAAAGGGAACTTTTAGCCAGGCGATGGTGGTGCATGCCTTTCATCCTAGCACTCAGGAGGCAGAGGCAGGCAGATCCAATCCAGCCTGACCTACAGAGAAAATTCCAGGACAGCCAGTCTACACAGAGAAACCGTGACTCAGAAAACCAAGGGGAGGGGGTAGATCTTTAAATTTTACTTATAAATCAGCTTACAAAGGGCAGGTTTCCTTACGGCTTTCTGACACAGCCTTAGTTTTGGTTGTTCTCCACTCACCCAACTTTCCCCTTCACCGACCTCATCTTTGTGTAAACTACTGTTCTCAATCTTCCTAGTGTTGCAACCCTTTTATATAGGTTCCTCATATTATGGTGAACCATAAAAATCACTTTTGTTGCTACTTCATAACTGTAATTGTATTACTGTTATGAATTGTAATGTAAGTATCTGTGTTTTCCAATGGTTCCTAGTCAGCTCCTGTGAAAGGGTCATTCAACACCAAAGGGGTCACAACCCACAGGTTGAAAACCTGGTAAAAAAAAAAAAAAAAAAAAACCTTTTCAACCCTTGTATCTATACTTCAATTTTCAAATCCATGTGTCCTCTATCCCTCCCCACCTAAAATTTTAAAAAGTAAAAACATCAATTCATGTATCTATTTTAATAAACAAAAGTCTACATACCTTTTTCCCCAATGACATATCTAATGTTAAATCAAGATAAACACCTTGCTTTGGATTGGTAAAGTCCAGAACTTGGTATTTCTTAAGTAGGTGAATAGCTTTCTCCACTTCATAGATCCGCCTCGGGTATAAGCGTTTTAAGTAGACATCATCTTCAGGTTCACTTTCCATGTAGGTATATGACTTTATTTTCTCTATATCATCTGTTTTTTCATCTGTTTTATTTTCATTGGCATCTTTTTCCTTTTTCCTTGCAGGCCTCAAAACAAGATACATTAAGGTAATTACATCAGAATGTATTTAAGGAGACCTTTCTAAAGTTGATTTACATAAGACAGAAACTAACAGAAGACCATTTAACTCAAAAGCACCCCCAGTTTTACAGTTTCTCTAACTCAATAAATACCAATGCTTTTGTACTATTTCCAATCAGTACAAGGTGAATGAAGCAGTATTGCTATTCTCCAAAAGTTTACAAAGGAGCAAAAGGAAATACACATGTCTAAAGAGATAGTTCTGAAGACCATTAATCCAGCCTAGGAAGTTTGGGAAGAGTTGTCAAAGACAAGCAAGACTGAAGGATAAGAACAATAGTCTTGATATACACCTAAAAGAATTGTTCATACATGCCTGGCATGTTGGCACACGCCTGTAGTCCCAGCACTCAGGAGGCAGAGGCAAGCAGACCTTTGTGAGTTCAAGACCAGCCTGGTCTACAGCCAGGACTACACAGAGAAACTTTGTCTCAAACAGACAAACAACAACAACAAAGAATTATCCATACGCAAACTGGTACACAAATATTCCTAGTGGCACCATTCATAACACCCCAAAGGTAGAAGTAACAAAATATGACATTACACTATGATGGGGTGTTCTATTTATTTTTGTGTTTCAATTTTGCTTTCACACAAATATGCCACTATATTTTCCATTTAGTCAGCATCTTCCTACACTGCTGTTACTCCTCTTTGCCCCTTTGCTGGTCCCCATTCCTCCTGTAGTCTTTTTTCCCCAAATATAATATTTTCATTAATTATTTGGGAATTTCATACATACCGAGCACACTCGCTTCCCATTCCTCCCAGGTCCACCCTCTCACTCTTGTGCCCTCTCCAAAATAAATAGATAGATAGATAGATAGATAGATAGATAGATAGATAGATAGATAGATGGATAGATAGATAAATAAGTCCAATTTGTGTTGCCCTGATACTTACTGGAGCATGGTCAAACTCCCAATGGCCAGCCCCTCCCCCACAAAAAAGCCATCAATTTTCTGTTCTCATGTGACATGTGCTCTATTGCTCTCTCTTTCATACAATCATCTCCAGTTCCATCATTTTCCTGTAGATGTCATGTTACCTTTTCTTATGGTTGAAAAATACTCCACTGTGGATATGTACATTTTATTTTATGCATTCATCTATTGATAAGACATGCAGGCCGATGTTACAGCTCATCTACAGTGAAATAGTACACATAAACACAGACACATACACAAATCTCTAGTGTGCAGATTTAAGATCCCTTTGGGTAAATACTCAGGAGCAGTATAGATGGGTCTATTAGAAGACATTTAAATTTTTTATTATATTTTTATTCAGTATGGGTATGTGTGTTGGTGTGCATGCATGGAAGTCAGAGAAAAACTTTTGGTAGCTGGTTCTTTCTACCAAGTGGATTCCAGGAACTCCAGGTGTCAGACTTCACAGCAGGGACCTTTCCCTGCTTCCAGTCCTCAAGGCAGTTTTAACTTGCACTCTCCTAATGGCTAAGAATGCTGAACATTTTTTTCAAGTATTGGCCATTTATATTTCTTTTGAAAACTGTCTGCTCAATTCATTAGCCCACTTACTGACTGAATGATCTTTTTGTGTGCTTTATTTTTTAGAATTCTTTATATATTCTAAATATTGATTCCCTTGTCTGATACATAGCTGATTTTTTTTTTTTTTTTGGCCCTATTAGAATAGGCTATCTTTCACTCTGATGATTTTTTTTTTTCTCCTTTGTAATATACACAGAAGTTTTTAAATTTCATGTAACCCTGTTTGTCAATTCCTGGATTGATTTCCTATGTATGCTACTGGAGTCCTTTCCAGAAAGTTCTTGTCTCCATATTGAGGTACATAATAGACTATTAATCAACAACACAAAGAACAAAGTACCTGATCAATGCGACATGTATTAACCTTAAAACCATTATACATATACATCAACAGTATGGAGTTTCTTTGTTATATACTGAGAGAAAACAGTCACAAAACAATACAAATGACTTCATTTACACAACAGAAGACGGGGAGAAAATCAGTAAAGTGCCTTTTGCATAAACATGGGGACCTGAGTTCAGTCCCCAGAACACACAGTAACAAGCCAGGTGTGGTGTCCAGCTGTTCTAATCCTGAAGCTAAGGAAGCAGAGACCAGAGGATCCCTGAAGCTCACTGGCTAGTCAGCCTAGCCAATCAGTTCACTCTAATCAGGGCCTGTTCAGGGACCAATGAGAATTCCGTCTCAAAAATCAAGATGGATGTCTCCTGAAGTTCAGAACGACACCTAATAGTGACCTGTTACCTACACGCATACAAACATGATCACACACAAGTTAAAATAAGTAGAATAAAACTCCCATTAGCTTCATAAACTATGCAAAAATAGATAGTTTCCACTGTTCCACTGGCCAACATTTGCTGACTCTGAAACTAATGGAGTAAAACAGAGAGCAGGAAGCTGAAAAATAGGGTTGGAAATTCCAGGTCACAATGTGCCTGTTTTAGAGGCAAAGAGAAGTCAGAGAGCAAGAATAATGTGAATGTTAAGTTGTAGAGTGTCCCAGCTACAACAGAAGAGCCAGCTCTGAAGGAAACAAGAGGAGAAGCAAGGTGTATTCCCTCTCTCTCTTTCTTCTTACGGGGGGGGGGGGGGGGGGGTGTCTGAATAAATAACGATAAGGCTGAAAAGATGACAGAATAGAAAAATGTTTACAAGGTAAATACAAAAGAGAGGAAACAGAGAGAAGAGTCTAAAATACCTCTTGCGGTTTTGGCTTGGGGAACCAGGTGTGGAAGGAATAGTATATCATTAACTAGCCAGGAGGAAAAGAGCAAGATAGTTCTCTGAAGAAGCAGGTAGTCAAAGGGATGAAATCAGTGACCAAGGAACAGAATGCCTTCCCCAGTCCACTGACTTGGCCATGTGACTAGTTTAGGCTGACAGAATAAAGAAGTGACCAAAAAAAATAAAAAATAAAAAATAAAAAAAATAAAGAAAAGAATAAAGAAGTGGCAGTTTCCCTGCTCTAAGTTTACCTAGAAGAGGCTTTGGGGGTTGGGGATTTAGCTCAGTGGTAGAGCCCTGGGTTAGGTCCTCAGCTCTGGAAAAAAAAAAAGACAAAAATAACAAAAAGACAAAACAAACAAACAAACAAACAAAAAGGTAACTAGAAGAGGCTTTGTATGTTTCCACATTAATGTATTTATTTGTCATTATTCATAAACCCAAGCCCAAACTAAGAGCATGAGAGACACATGGACCAGAGCCGGCCCCACAGGGCCCCAGGCTAGGTTAGATGATGCTCAGCTAACCTGCAAACTTGGCAGCAGAGCAAGCCTGGGTCATTAGACACCCAGCCTCAGCCAGCTCACCCACAGATGTGTATGCAGAACTGAGTAGTTGTGGGGAGGTTTGCTGCATGCAAAAACTAATGCTTATAAAACACCTAAGAAATAAGGGAAGTGCAGATAAGAGTTTAAAGTTAAGAAAACAAAAACTAGAGGTAATATAATTTTTCAACATTTACTCAAAGCATAAAAGTCTTAAATTAGTACAACACTATCTTAGAAAGATATTTGGGTTCTGTGGTAGACAGAATAGCAGCCACTTATGTGACTTGTGTGTCAGATGTCCCTTACAGGCTCATGTATTTGAATACTTGGTCCCCAGCTAGTGGCCCTGTTTGAGAACACTGGGGAGCCTTTCTGAGATGGGACCCAGCTGAATTAAGTGACTCCCAGAGACAGGTCTTGAGGTTTATCACTCAGCCCTGCTTCCTGTTCTCTCCAGGCTTTGTAATCAATCCAGATGTGAGCAAGCAACCACCTGCTCCTCCCCCACAGTCAAAGGTTGCTCCTCTCACCATGCCTCCCTACCAGGCTGCACTGTACCCTCAAACCATGAGCCAAAAGAAACCTCCCCACCCCACCCGCACCCTTATGCTGCCTTTTGTAAGATATTTTGTAACTGAAATAAGAAAAATAATTAATATATCCCAAAAGACAACCATGTCATGATATGTGACAAGGAGAACTTGCATGTGACCTATGGTGAAAGACCTTGAAAATGGAGAGATTATCCTAGATTATCAATGTGTGTCCAATCACAGAAGCCCTTCAAAAGGAGAACTACCCCCCTTCCCAATAAGATCAGATGTCCCTGAGAACCTGACAGCAACCCCAGCAAGAGTGGGATGCAAGCCGCCAGTGCTCTGAGATAGCAGCGAGCCACACAGGTCAGGAACATGACTAAGAAGGAAACGGATTCTCCTTACAGTCTACAGAAAACAACCACCAGCACCCTCATCTTAGCTAATGTGCTCCATATCAGACTCTGAATCTAGAGAACCATAACACAGAAAATTGTGTTGTTTTAAGCCTCAAGGTTTGTGCTAGTCTGTTTGGTAGTAAACCATAAAGCCTCATAAACCATATGTGAAAGAAATAACAGTAATATTTTAAAATATCAAAACCAATCTAATATAAAATTTCAATCTTATTCTTAGCACTCGATAAATGCTGTTACCACTAATAATAGTATCCTCCCTACTAATAAGCAGCTGAGCACACTAGCAAATAATGATAATCTTCATTTAAATGGTGTAGGCATCCTTTCAGACTGCTGACAGCAAGTTTAAGCAAGTGCCCAAGTGGAAGGATGTGCTATGTCTCATAGCGCTCCTGGTGCCTACTAAATTCTTAAGCCTCCCAAACTGAAGAAAACATATTTTAATCATATTTACTAGTAAGTAACAAAGCCAACAGAAGATCAGAGAGCCTGTTTAGGAAGAAAGTGCTCTATTTAGCATAAACAAAGGCTCTCGCTATGGTCATCAAATAAAACCTTGATTTCACAGCTAAACTTTCCATTTTTAATAAGCAATTAATATAAAATATCTAGTGAATTCTTCTTGTATAATCATAAATTCTTCTTGTGAAGCCCAAAAACTCTGATAAATGAGATTCTGATGGTTAAAGAGCAA